AGTGGCATTTATAAACATGTTTAGATCAGGTCACTCAAACAGGAGTGGTTGTCACAGAGTTCCTCTAGTCATTCCACTCATCCAGAAGATAGCTATCTATAAAGGCTGACATGCAACTGTTCAAAAACCTGTAAAATATTTTATTCATGTATTTAACATATTGTGTGTTGACTTAGAAGGACACATATGACAGGTGTACAACTCTGTGTTCCTCCCTGTTCCTTCCAAAACTGGACTGGGTGATAATAGTTTAAAGTGGAACTGTGTGCAGTAAGTACCTGGCAGCACTTTGCAGAGACAGGATATACCCAGGACTGCATACAAGAACTCAACAATTAAAAAATCTAGAACTTTTGCCAGATGTGGTAGCATATCACTCGGGAGGCAGAGTCAGGTGGGTCTCTGAGTTTGATGCCAGCCTGGTCTACAGAGTGAGTTTCAGGACAGTCAGAGCTGTTACACAGGAAAAAAAAAAAAGCAAAACAAAAACAAAACAACAGCTCTGCAGGTGTAATGTGTGCATCCCCAGAAGCTGTTGGGCAAAGTTCACCATGAGCAAGAGCCAGTCAAGGGCATGAAAAGCTGTCCTGAGTCTCAACCATGGCTGAGACGTTAGAGCACTCCAAAAGACCACCCCTACCTGTCTCTAAGGTCTTCTTCTGGCTTTTTCCAGTTTACTGTCCCTCTCTTTTTGCTCCCACCAGTAAGGTCTGGACTTGGTGTTTGTCTCACTGAACTCCAAAACCATACCTTGGTACCAAGGTAAACCATCAAAACCTGCCTCGACCACTTAAAAATTTATTTTACATTAATATACTTAGGTATGTGTGTGGCAAGTGTATGGAGGTCAGAGGATGATATGGGAGAAACAGATCTTTTATATAGGATGTAGGGATCCAAATCAGGTCATGAGGCTTGGCAGCAAGTGCCTATGCTCAGTTTCTGTAAAATACTGCCAGGGTAATGCAAAGCCACTTAGTCAGCCCGTGACCACTTTTTTCCTGGGAAGTATGCTTACCTAATACCTATTGCCAAGTGCAGGGTACACATCCTTCCTCCGTGGCCAAAGGACCACCTTTCCTCACCCAGAACAACAGGGAGGCCCTGTTGTTCAGCTCCTGGAAATTTCTGGTCTGGTCAAGACATCCAGTCAAAAAATAAAGATGACACAAACGCTATGAAAGACAAAGACTGACACACCTTGAAAAGGACAGGCAGTACCGGTGACCTCTACTGTATTCTTGTCTACATGAACATAAAACTAACTGCAGCTTTCCTTAGCCTTCCTATCAAAATACAAGGCTTAAGTACCTCTCAATGTGGACTTGTTAACATGTCACTAGTCAGGGAGGAGACATAAACCCCTGTGCCTTTTGCTTAGGGTGATGTATGTGATGGTTAGAGAGACAAGAGTTCAAATAGCTTCTCTGATATCAGATTACAGCATGAGCATAGCTTCCTACTACATCACTAGAGAAATTAGGTTAGAAGCCATTAGCAATCCCAGGATAATCATCCACAACTGGGACAAAACTTTCCTTTGTGAAGCCAGTGTTTTATGCACCCTTCTCCCCCACATGGTTTCAAAGATAGCCCTTTTCAGTGTAATTCTTCACTTCTGGGTAAAATATGCAACCTTCAGATGGCAAGGACCACAATAATCCTGGGACTGCAATGTATAGTAGCAGACATACCTTAAGCAACATCAATATGAAAATGTACTTCCAGGCTCACAGACTCTTAACTGCACAGCAAATGAGGAGGCAACAGCCACTTTCCACTAGGAAAGACTCCCATGACTATGGATCTCATGCAGAGCCCATATGGTGGATCACAACCATCTGGAACTCCAGTTCCAGAGGACCTAACAGTTTAAACTCCACTGGCCTCGTGACCATCCCACTGCTCTTCAGACCTCTGAGCTCTCAGAAACTTGCTTTGTTTCATTGGCCACAGCCCAGAGTGCTAACCCCAATCAGTGCACACACTTGGGAGTTTGGTCATTATTCTAAAGTGATATTATTATTCCCATTGTCAATCAGTTGATCAAGATTGACCTAGCACAACAGGACACATCTATCTTCTTCAGTTACAAAGACCCTATGCTGTCTAGTTTTATGTCAACTTGGTACAAGCTAGAGTCATCAGAGAGAGGGAGCCTCAACTGAGAAAATGCCTCCTTTAAAGCTGGGTTGTAAGCATGCCTATAGGGCATTTTCTTATTTAGTGAATGATGTCAGAAGGCCCAGCCCATTATAGGTGGGGTCGCCCCTAGGCTATTAGTCCTGGGTTCTATAAGAAGCAAGCTGAGCAAACCAGAAGGAGCAAGTCAGTAAGCAATACTCTTCAAAGGCTTCTGCATCAGCTCCTGCCTCCAGGTTCCTGTGCAGTGTGAGTTCCTGCCCTCACTGCTTTTGATAATGATTTGTTATATGGAACTGTGAGTGAAATAAATCCTTTCCTCCCCTAGCTGCTCTTGGTCATGGTGTTTCATCACAGCAATAGTAACCCTAACTAAGACAGCCCTTTTGCCCTCTCTTCAATTTATAGTGGTTCTACTTTTTGGTTTTGTTTTACTCTGGATATATTTAGAAACCATCCAGAAAATACTGACTACAACTACTTTAGGTAGGCATGATTCGACTGTTTTGCTATGAAACTTGAGTCATATTTGAGTAATCAAATAAACCTAAAATGCAGAGCAAGCACAAGAGTCATCTCTTTAGCATCTGTAGTGTCCTCAGCTCAGGAAAGCACACCTTTACAACTCACTGACTCAGAGAACAAATGGCACTACTGCATTTGTAGCAAGAATGACTTCTTCCTTCCTTCTTACAAAAGACAATTCTCTTGACCAGGTGATTAGCACAGAAATAAAAGCCAGAGGAACAGTATATAACATACTAAAGTGGGAGCACTTTATTATCTCTAAGGCCCCAAAACAATGCAAAGTAGTGCAGAGGTGGTGTCACCTCTGACACCAAACATTTAACTCAGTTACAATCTTCCCAGGATTCAAATAGGTGTCTGGAGAATGTCAACATGCTGTAGAAGCCAGCAGCAGAACATTTAAGAATAAACCCACCCCCACAGAGCTAGGAGGGAATCCAGTGATCACTGGAACCCTGAGAGACACTCTAACAGGACACCCCCTACCCGCACACAGCCCTTCCACACCTGAGTTGCCATTCATGATGCACTGGGAGGGGGCCCGAGGAAGAGTAGCCCTCCCTTCTTTTCACTGCTGAAGTTCTGATCATAATTTTGCTTTTATATCACCAGGGATGCTTGCTGTCTTCCTGTAAGTACTCAGTGTCCTCTTCCTTGCTCAGGAATTACTCTAAAGCAATAAAATCCCTCCTGCATGGCAGACCTTCAAATGTCTGAAGATCATTAGGACACGGGCTCTTCCCTGCCAAATACTTCTGCGGGGATGAAACATCAGAGCCTACCTAGCTGGCCTGGAACTTGGACTTGCAGCAGTCTCTGTATGTATGGCACTGCAGGGTGCCTGACACTGCCCTCAGAGTATATGCAGTTCAGGAAATAGTTAATCTTAGTTAATAGATGTGTCGCCCAGTATGCATTAGGATCTATTTATGGCTGACCTTGTTTTAGACAGAAGAAAAAAGCTCTGCATATTTTCTTGCCAGAAATATGAGAGAATGCTTTACAAGTATTGCTTAAAAGCATCATCATAGTAATTAACATCAGTCCTGCTGCAAACACATCCTGACAATTAGATAATGAGCCTAAAATCAATTTTCTGACCTAGGATGGATGAGCATTAAGAACTCAGAATGAGTGAGCTGTTCTAAACAAAAGGATTCGAGTGTTTCTTTAAAAAGAGTCAATGTTGAAAATGTTTAATTTTCAAAACATCAATTTGAGCCATTTAAGTTGTTATAGGAAAATTCTGTTCGTGCAAATCATTGTTCTATACTAGGGCTGGGGCTAGATAGAGCTCAGTAGGAGAGTGCTTGCTTATGTTATATGGAGCCCTACATTCATTCAATCTTCCACACAGCAAACCCAAACGAAAATCTAAACGAAACTAATTGATCATAATATGCCACAGAGCAGGGGCAATCCAATTTATTTTAAGGCTTTTCAGTAGCGGTATACACATGTGCACATAAACACATAAAGAGGCAAACGTCCTAAAGCCTTTCTTCCAAACATATTAGAATATTCAGCCATTTTGGTGAACAGTTAGCCAAAAGGAAAACACGAGAAACTGGAGGTAAAAGTCATTTGGAAAGCTGGCATTTCCCCCTACAATTCAACGGCAAGAGAATGCCAGAGAATTCTTGTCAGTGCATATAAATAACTTAATAATACCGATGCTATTTAAATTAATTTCAAACTTAGTTGGCCTGGAACTCGCTATGTAGACAAGGCTGGCCCCGCAACTCGGATATTCACCTGCTTCTGTCTCCCGAGAGCTGAAATTTAAAGGCGTGCGCCATCACGCCCGGCTGCTTTAACACTCCTAAAGGCGTCTGAAAGCCCGTACTTTTGTCATAAAACCGACCGGTGCCACCTGTCACATTTTTCTCCTTGGCCACCTCACTGTCATCAGTGGACTAGACCGTGCTGCGAAAGATAACTCGAGGCTTGACATTAGCTCGCAGGGCCGGGTCGAGCCCGAGGAGACCGCAACCCAGAGTGGCTGCCCGCCACGGGAGAGCGTGGCCAGCGCGCGCGTCCGCGGGGCCCCGGGAGCCCAGGGCAGAGTACTTAACGTGGAGACACCTGGACTCCAGGGCTGCAGGTCCGGGAGGCGGCGGGTGGGGCGCGGGCCGGCGGCCGAGGCCCCCAGCATCCCGCCGGCGTCGGGCCGGACCCCGGGGCGCTGCCCCGCACCTGCAATGCGGCTTGTACTCAGGCCGGGCCGGCGGTTGCGGCCGTTGCGCCGCGCCTCCCCCGCCACGCCGGTGCGCAGCCTGGAGCCCAGCCCCGAGGACAAGCCTCCTTATCAGCGCAGGTGCGCGTCTCACCTGCCACGCTCCGTCAGGCGGCTGCAGCGCTCGGCCTGCTCCTCGCGGTGGCCCGCGGCCCATGGGCAGGGACGGTCGGAGGCGGGTGCGCAGCGGCCCTGCCGCGGGGCACGGACACTCAAGAGACGCCGCCCGGCCGGCGCATCCCGCCCGCACCCTCAGAGCGCTCGCCGCAGTGCACGCCGGGAGACGTTGGCGGCCGGGCTGGTCCTCGCACCCGATGCTGAGGGGAGGATGCGGCGCCGACGCGACGGCGGTCTGCTAGAGAGGGGAGGACCGGGCGGATCGATGCTATCTCTGCAGAAGGGAAGGGGGCGCCGCCCCGCTCCCTGCGGCTGCGGCAGGGCAGAGGCTAGGGCGAGGAGGAGAAAAAAAAAACAAAAAACAAAACAAAACCCAGGGATGTTAGTTAGTAACACGCAAGCGCACTGCTCAGGTGCGGCCGCACTGCGGTTGCCCTTAGTAACCAGGGCGGGTGGGGCGGGGACAACGAGAGGTGGAGAAGCCCAGCGGGGACGCGCGTGCGTGCCTGTGCTGACGGCGGTGCGGGGGGGTGGGACGGGAACTCGAGCAGCTAGGCACGCATGCGTTCCGCGCCCCTCATGGTCTCCCCGCCCCTCCCCGGGGGCTGGCCGGCCTCGCGCGTGCGCACGCGTGCCGCTCCCCCGGAGGCGTCTGGGTGTGCGGAGCGCGCGCGCGCGAGCGAGGCTCGGAGGCGCACCTGTGAGGTGTCCGCTGAGGAGAGGGCCGGTGGGCGCGCAGTCCGCGGCCTAGGCGCGCTCCTCGCCCGCACTTGGGAGTGAGTTGGGCCGGCCGACGGTAGTGTGTGTCTGTCTGCCTTGGCTTTTCGGGACGGGGCGTGGGCCGACGAGCGGGCTGGGGGCGGAAGGCGGTGGAGTCGGGGGGTGAAGAAAAGGAAAACAAGCCGTCACTCAGCCGGGCCTGGGCATGGCGGGGAGGGAAGGTCAGCGCGGCGCCCGCTGCGGCACAGGCCCGGGTCGGGCCGGCGCGAAGCTGGAGAGGCCCCGCGGGAGCTGGACTCCCGGGCCGGGCCCCATTGTTGTCGGGGCCGAGGCGGGCGGGAGTGCGGCAGCCCTGGGAGCCGAGGGCCGCGCCCTGGAGCGGATCCAGGCGGGTCCCGGGAGGGCGGTAATGGCCGCGCGCGAGCCGGGCCACGGGGGGCGCGGAGCGGCCCGCTGCATGGCGCTGTGTCCCGTCGTTTTCCAGCACTGCACAGTCCCGACCGAGGCCGCTCAGCATCCCGCCGAGGTGATGAGGACCTCCCCGCAGCCCCCGCGAGCCCAGCTGCCGCCGCCGGACGCCTCCATTGTCTGACCACCGCCCGGGCCCGGCTCTCCGCAGGTAAGCCGGCCGGTGGTTCGTGCAACTCCCCTGCCGCCGCCGAGCCCCTCGCGCTCCTCCAGCCAGGTCGCCGCTCTCCGCGAACTCGGGCTTCTTTGTGAGCCTTTGCTGGCCAAACTCCCCGCAAGTCGGTCTCGGGGATGCGCCTGTCCCCGTCGGGAGTTTATAGTGTATCTGTTGCAACAAAGGAGTCCCGGGATTGGAAGTCACAGTCCCAAACCTGTAACCTCCGTGCCAGGGACAGTGTGTGCCCTTTAAAGCTTGTATCGTTTTAAAGGGGTGGAACTCTTAGAGCGGGCCTGGCCTCCACTTACTCAGTTGGTGTGTGGTTTCCCAGAGCAGAAAAGTTAGTGATCTCCTGTCCCACCTCCAGGATAGAATTTAGAAATTAATTGTGGATGAGCAGAGAAAGATGTTTTCTTGTAAAAAGTGAATGTGTCACCGATGACAAGTCCCTTAGCCCATCTCCAGCACGTGGTGTGTCTCCTAGATCTTTTAGAAGTTATTTTATGTGAGGGCTTTCCATCATGTCGACTACTAATTGGTTGTGCATTTTTCCATTTTACCATATAATGTCTTTTTCCGAACGGTGGCCTGGTGCTCTAGAGTTTGGGTCTATCATTGCTTGTTTAGCCATGTCTCACAGTGATGGCAATTGGTGTTTCAAAGAACAGCTTTTAAAAATCAAAGAAAAACCTAGTGTCTTTTTATGGTAAGATGGAATTTTATTGGAGGTAGCCTCAGAAACATGCCAATTGTAGAATAGAAACATTTATGACAGAGAATTTCTTTGATTTGAAACTTACACTCAGCCCTCCCCGAGGGGATTGCAGACTGTTCCTGTGCTTGTGACCTCGAGGAGGATACTCAGATCCTCCGTTTCTATAAAGATCTATCTGCTACACAGACCTCACTGAAGCCATGTGAAAGTTGGAGTGTGTAAAGTAGTAAACAGAGACCAGTTTTATTGGTCTTGGTGAAACACAGCCCTGCCCCACCCCCTGCAATGTAATTTTTTTTTTCATCAGGTGAGCATAGGATAGACTACTTATGACAGTCAACTTTGAAGCTCTTAAGTTTTTGGTCCTGTTACAATTTTTATGAAATGCTGACAATACTGTGTTTGTAATGAATATTTTACAAGGCACATTTTTTTCCTAATGCTTTTCTATTCATTTTTTTTTTTTTTAAAAGTAAAGCACATTAATTAGTTGACTGGATCAGAGTGTCTGCAATCTGCTTAGCTAAATTCTTACTTTGATGTTTAAACAAACTTATTTCTTCCTGTTGTACATTTTCTGCATGCTTCCTGTGACCACGGAAGATTCAGGTTACCTTAGTCCCTTTCAGGAAAAAATTCCTTTGTAGGTGCATCAGAAAGTTTTACCAGCTGAGATAGTGGTGAAATAAAGTAACAATGTAAGATATGATCAATTCTGTCAGCACCTTTTATAGCTGTGGAGTTTTGTTTTTCTTTCAGATGAATGTGAGTTCCTAGAGCAATCTCAGAAAACTAATTTGTTCTTGTTCCCTTAGAGTTTGTAAACTGTAGAGGGACAGATGAGGCTATCTGCCTGGAAAGTTAGGTAGCACCTTATGTGAGAACCACATTTCAGGTTGAGGGCCCTGAATGACTCCTCCATCCCCCAAAACAAGATTAAAGCTGGGATGTGAGAGATGAGTAAGCCCTGGTGTCGGTGAAGTAGGGGATAATTTTCCAGCAGAGGAACTGCATGTGGGAAGGCCTTAAAGGGAGGGAAAGCAGTGTTTTGTAGGATCCAAGGCATCGATGTATGGTGATTAAGGGGAGAATGTAACCTGAAGGGGGTCGGGGAAAACAGATCATGTGTGGCCTTTAAAGTAGATGGGCAGGTTAGAAATGTGGTTTTAAAATAACCTCTCCAGTTGCCACATGCAGAGAGTTGAATTGGGAAGAGCACACTGCCATTTCACTGTGTTCTTGGAGGAAGGGCTGCCTGTTCCTTAGAGCTCATGGTGAATTCGCTAGTTGAAGTGAAGACAGAAAAGATGGCTTGTTTTGTTGTTGTTGTTGTTTTGTTTTGTTTTGTTTTTTAGAGATGGAATTCAATAAAAACTTTTCCCCTTCTCTAGGACCTTTTAAGTGCCAGGCATGTTCTCTGTCATTGGATATATGTTCCCAACCAAAAAGGCACTTTAAAACACATACACACATTTACATTTTCCAGAAGATCTGGGTTCAATTCCCAGAACCCACATGACAGCTCATAACTGCAGCAGGAATGCACATGATACACAGGCAAAAGTATGCAGGTGAAACACTTATACATATAAAATAAAAACAAAGAGCTGTCCAAATTTCATCAGTGATACTATACAGGAAAAAATTTTAAAAAAAAAAACATTAGACTAGGGTCTGAAGAGAAGGCTCATTGGTTAGGAGCTCTGCCTGCTTTTCCAAAGGTCCTGAGTTCAATAACCAGCAACCATATGGTGGCTCACAACCATCTGTAATGAGATCTGGTGCCCTCCTCTGGCCTGCATTGGCCTGCATGCATACATGCAGGCAAAACCCTGTACACATAATAAATTTAAAAAGAAAAAAGAAAGCATTAGACTAAGCAAGTAACAAATTTGTAGAAGCCAGACAGCTACTGGGGTCATCAATGTGTGTAAAGCTCTGACAAGATCAGGAGGAGCTGAAGATAACCATGGGGAAGCTTGGTATTTCTGTATGGGGAGGGGATAATGTGTCAACTTGGAAAGAGGTAGCCTAGATAGGTGTTTGTAGTGCACTATTGAACAAAGACACAGACGTCATCCTATTTTTGTAACATACAAAACAAAATAATTATGTTTGGATAAGAACAGAAGGATAGCTAGAAGAGGCCATGGAAACTATGGTTGATTCTATAGAGAATCATTGGGAGCCAGTTTACCTTCTTTGTGCTTTGGCATTTCCTGGTGTTTATATGAACATTAACTTGTAGTGAAGAGGCTGTAAGTTCTGTCATTTAACACAGAAAAATTACTGTTTAAGGGATATAGTACTAGTGGTATATTCTTATGTAATATTGTCCATATAGATCAAGCATCACAGTACTTATGTTTCTTGACGTGGAAACCATTAAAGGAATTTTTATTCTTTTTGGTTTTTTGAGACAGGGTTTCTCTATGGAGCTTTGTAGACCAGGCTGGTCTCAAACTCAGAGATCCGTCTGCCTCCTGACTGAGTACTGCCATTAAAGGGGTACACCACCAAGCCCGGCTAAAGGAATATTTCTAAATACAGTTTAAAAAAAAAAAAGCTTTATGCACAAAATATGTAGAATGATCTTAAGGGTTTAGTTGTAAAATGGTAATGATATATTTACTAGATAATGCTGCCACTTAAAATCTATGCCAAGGAAATACCTTAAAAAATTTAAGACTATTAAGTAGAGGAAAACCAGGACACACAGCTACAGACGTGGTGTAAATACACAAAAATTTCAGTAATCTCCCACTAAAACCTGTGAATGGAAAACTGTCTAGAAGAAATTAGATGGAAATCTTAAGAATTGTAGACTTTGGGTATTAGGGTTTTGAGGTACTTGAACATAAATCTGTCCTTTTATAGTTGAAAAAGTTGTGTGTATTTACAATGAAATGTTTAGTTTTACAAATTACATTATATTGGAGACCTGTTAGTTGCATAATAAAAGGATGTATTCTTTCTTTCATCCATTTATTCATTTTGAAGCAGGTCTCTCTGTGTAGTCCTGGCTGTCTTGGAACTGTGTAAACCAGGCTGACTTTGAATACACAGA